ATGTCATTATTATTAACATTTTACTGTTTTTATCTACGGAATTTGCCAGTCTTTTAAGTCTAGTTTTCACTTTTCTCAAAAATTCACTTCAATTACACACAGTCAACAGCTTACCTCAATCATAATCAAGTTGCTCTTTCTAGACTGAAACACCGATGTAGGTTCAACGTTTAAAAACCAACCTTATTAGATTTTTGCTCACGTACACCTGTACATACACTGTAGATTCATGTGTGGACATACAAAGACGTAGATGTCATATACAACTACATGTAGTACCCCGGTATGTTGATATCATAATGTGGTAGGTACTTATTGCAACAGAGACGATTATATTTTCCTCCAGGTGGCGTTAAAGTACTGCCCAGTTTGTCAAACATGGCGAAAACTGTTCAGATAAAAGCAGTGGACCATTTTAGAATCGCCATTGACCTACACAATATTATTTCATTTTGGGTGTTTTCTTCTGGTTTGTTTTTGAAATATATCTAACACAAATGCACTATATATATACATTTTGATTTTAGTAAATTGTTAATTAAGTTTTGTTCGTCAGATAAGGGTGAGCGTTGGACAGAAAAGCTTTAGCCCCTCCCCCATAACGCAAATTGAACCTACTCACTGGGAAGAGTTGTTACACCTTACGTGATCAGGGAGTGGATGCGAGGCGATCTGGAAACTAAGTATACGAATATTTATGTTTCAACCTATTCAGTATAACGTTTCAATGTATCAGTGTTAGGGATTTAATGTTCACTTATTTGTAATTTTATAAGAAGTACAAATGTATTGTGACGCGTGCATGCATAAAAATGGTTTGGCCATTCCCCAGTGTTTCCCCCACAACATTGTGCTTCCTCCATTACATCACCTTATCACGTCATACGGAAATGAAAACTATTTCGAACTTCGTTAGTAGAAAAAGTATCGTCAGTTGAAGACGTACCAGGAGAATATTTACAAGAAGCAGACAAAAAGGGAAAATGCTGTGGAATCTCCCATTTAAATTCCTATTTACTGACATGTAAATATTTATAGTAAGCGGTTGGAGGTCGAAATAAAACGATCATAACAGACAGTAGGTGCACTGTATAAGTATTAAACTTCTAATTTCGGCACGATTTCACTAGTCCAGTTGTACTATTTCAGTCCGTTGAATATATAAGTTGAATTATAGCTACACTGTACAGATTTTTGTGTGACGGGAGCTTTAAAAATTGTGGCTTCACTGGCCAACAATGTAAACCATACAAGGCATAGGGCACAACTGATAGCGCAAAATACTGCTTCAAACAAATGTTAATCGTTCTGTTGATACCTCATGTCGATACCTTTAAAATAAAGCATTGGTACTATAAACATGTTATTTTTAAGACTGCGTGATCGTCAGATACAGGTTTGGTTCATTTAAGTAAAGATATCTGCCCCTTATGCCTTTCAACGTGCTCTATTCTCGCAGGCCCGTAGCCAGGGGGGGGTTCGAAAGAACCGCCCCTCTTGCTGGGAAAAGGTCCACTCTGGGTAAAATTTGAACTAGGTACATGAAGTTTTTATGGAAAAGGGTCCACTTTTTCAGAAAAAGATCCCCCCTTTTGAAATTGCTGGCTACGTGCCTGTCTCGTAAGACCTTCAAGTTTGCCGCCGTGGCCTTTGTTAAATGATACTACAATAATGATTACCCTCTACCAGGGCCACAGATTGATTTTTCACTAGATACACGTTTTCACAGATTTGTTTCTAGTTAAACGATGGGACTTTTCTGACCTGCATGAGTCAGAGAAAAGTGCACATGAAATCAGCGGCCCTGAGAGATTGTTATGATACACGCGACCAAGAAAGTTCGGAAACGTGATATTGTTTTTTAATAATCGGAAAAAATATTTGATGTGTTGGGAAAATTTTCTGAGTTAATAAAGATTAACAAATGGTGGGTTTATTATCCACCAATATTTGGATAAAATATTTACCGTAACTAATAATGGTTATTTTATAACTATTCAAAATAACGATGTTTCCGAACCTTTTAGGGCGAAAGTACCAGCAAGGTAACGAGTGGTGACTTGGCGTTACGTTGTCGTGCGAATAAAATATGCACAAATATGGAAACTTTTGATCGTCGAGATCATCATTTTTTCATAAGACAAAAGTGACTGTTTTGAAAGATTATTTGGAAGTTACAACAATTTACTGATATATTTTCCCAACAGCGATTTTCTATATTTTTTCCTTTTTCCACGTTTTTTGCTATGATAATAATAAATAAAATAAATCATGTAAATATAGAAATAGCCACAAGTTATTGATCTTATTAGTCAGTGACGCACATTTTGTGTAATAATTGATGAACTGCTTTATATCTCTTTAATTACTGTCAATTTCTCAAATTTGTTCTGAATTTTTTGAAATGCTTGTAGATATTGATAACACCAAACTATAAACGAGTAGTTAAGTTGACCGTTTATTGGTGAAATGTAATACATTTGTTGTATATGTTACACCTTTGAGATATAACTTTGTCTTACATGCATGTCTTACGGATATTCAAAGTGATTAAGTAGTGATTTAACTGTTCTTAAACTTGCTAGTTTTACAATAAAATGCTTAAATATAATTAATACGTAGTTGTTTGGAATTGAATAAATACTTTCCAAGTATACAAAATGTCTTAGTCTTATTTCTTTGACGGTTGTATTGCTCAGCGGCAACCTGGGGTTGGGCTTCGACCTTGGTTTACGTTTCTAAAATTTCTTTAAAGTATTGGGATTTTTATTAGAAGTTTACTTTGGTTACTACAATAATTTCATTGACCCAGTGGTACCCCTCGGGCACTTGGAAATCATTGAATACTTTTCAAGGGGCTTTACAGAAATTTCCTTTTGGTTACTATAAGAGGAAAGTCTTCTCGAGGAGGGTGGGTGGGAACAGTTAGAGGAGTAGGTAACACGCTTGCCTCCGAGTCAGAAAGTCCCAAGTTCGAAACCTGGCGCTCCTGGGTCCCAGCAAATTACCTTTTGGAAAAAAAAATTCAAATAAGCAAGGTAAACTAATACAAGAGGCTCTACAGGTAAGACAACAGACATGTGCACTGGAGAACGAGAGTTCGAATAGAGCTAAAGGGAACAGAAGGTGAAAAATGAAAAGGATTTCAACATACAAATATCTGTACATTATTTTCTTTATTTATTGTTTCAACAAATTCCAAGTAATTTCAACGAAGTTTTATACAGAACAAAATACGTGAAGTTACGTTTTTTCTACATTGATAGCAATCATTACAATAGCGTCAAATTTCTAACAAATTATGCTTTTACAAAAAATACAAGAAGTCTACCAGATAGTAGACTAACTAACACATATGAAGGATTTTATGCACTTTGGAAATTGCTGCTCAAACAACAAATTCTTTTTATTTATATAAAAGAGAATTTCGACTTAATTCTTACCAAAACAAAATTCATATTAAAAAATTGACCAGGACTGTTAGATAAATTGAAATCATATCGTACTTGTCAAACTTTGTTCAAAGTTGACGTTAATAATTGATCACTAATTCCATTGAGGAGCAAAGTGTCCAATCTCAGTGGTGTGAATGATATCGAAATTCCAAAATGCATATAATCTTACATCTAGGCGACTTCCCCTCACGTGCACTCGCACACACGCACACCTTGTTCTATGCCGTCGTGCCGATTCTCGCACAGAAAAAGGTAGACAAAAATAGTCATTTTTAAGAATCGAGTGTTTTACCTTATTTTGTTTTCATTTCATTACATCCTAATATTGGTATGACACGAGTTTGAGCGAAAACTTAAATTTGCACACATGCGAATCAGGAACGGCATAAAAACATGGTTCATTTCCAAGCTTATTCTAGTCATCACATTTTTTTTTAATTTCTTAAAAGAAAAATATACAAACAAAACTGAAAAGATTACGCAAAAAAAAAAAAAAACGGTGACTTAAGATTCATTAATTCATAAATGCTAATACCCTTACTCTGGTCTCCGGTGTTCAGTGATAAAGAAACACTTAAATAAAGCAAAAATACCCCCAACAGGACGTGCTGGACTGGCATCTAATATGACCTTTCCCCTCAATCACCTCTCAACCAAAGAAATATCAATTAATAAAGCACTTCGAACAAAGTACATAAGTGAAAGTTACTTTAACCCCCCCCCCCCAACTTTTTGCGACGACTGAAGCAATCAATTTTAATTGCACGATGAATTTTCGAAATTAAAAATGTAAAGGTTGTGATAAATGTCAGTCCTACATAGATATTTTTATGCATATGAACAATAAAGTTTTTCAGGATAGCACGTACATTTCTGCTTTGCGATATTGGCAAAAAGTCCAACAACACACAAATGAGCTCATGCAATGCTTAACATGCGTCACAAACGCCACGTTTTAAAAGAGGATCGTTTCTAATACATGGGCAATTCTGCAATCACGTGGACAAATTTTATCTTTTTCATAACACTATAATTCCCAAAGCATTATAACTTGAAGTACAGTGTTTGTAAGTAAAATTAACAACTTTTCTTTTCTCAAACTTAACACTCAATATATGTAACCGTTTATCTCTCATAAGTTTCATGTAATAAAGATGAGATATTTTTCTTCTTGAAATTTCTCAGAATTCAATTCAATTCAAAATATTTAAAATATCCTCAAATGCACAGCTAAGTGGCTAACTGAAGATTTGCCCACAGAGAAATTTTACCTTCAACTAGAAGGAACAGAAACAGTACTCTGCCTAAAATCGCCTTATAATAATGATAACTATCATTTTTGTTTTCAACCATCACTCCAGCAAATACTTTTTGCATTAAAAATATTTTGTCAAAGGTGAACTCCAAGCCGTATTTTTGTTTGAGAACTGATGGGTTCCTCCTCCTGACACAATAATAAATATATACAATAAATAAAACACCTTGAAACGATATGAGCAGATAGAGTGCTGTACTACGATTTAGAAAGAATGTATAATATATAACTTAATAACCAGGGTCGACACCATCCATTTCTTTCTTTTTCTCTGATCAGAAGTTTCGTTAAAAAATTCTTGCTGCGTGCAAAAATTATTTTGATACAGAATATTGTTATCCAAGACAAAAATTACATTTCATATCAAATGTCAATCCTGCAAATAAACTACAAAACAAACTTCAACAAGCGAGACAATCTTGGCATGGCTGCGGGCAATGTCCAACATGAATCTGATGTCTTTAATCGGCTATGCATCCTATCATCCGGTAAACAGCAGTTGGGAGCCACTGAAATAAACGAAGAAAATAACATTCACGACACGGTAATATGTATATATCTTTAGCATGCTATTTTGGAAAACATGCGATTATGTTAACAAAACACTATTGTGCCATTCCTATTCTTTTCTACCCTGTGCACACTGTTTAATGACAACATCCTTCTTTACGTAAGATGTCATACGAAAGGACCAGGTGCCCGGATTACGGAGATATTCACGGAAATGAAAGTCAGTGAATGAAAACATTTGGCAGATGGGCCCAATATAGTATAAAATTGACAGGATCTTTAAAAAAGTCATTATCTAGGCACGTTTTCACTGACCAAGCCAGGGTTTTCAGGGGGAGGGGGCGAGGATACATTAGCTGGATTTCGTCTAGTTTCGTGCCATTTACAATTTTTTTGCACTTTTGATTTGTTCTTGTTTTAATTTGTTAATTTGGAAGGTAGAAGGGATACCTCTTAAATTAAGGGAAGGACACTGTACCAGCCCCCCCCCAACCCCCCACCTACCCCTCACCTCCCCAATCTGGTCCCGTCGTTCCCAGGAATGCAATGACACAATAGTTCAACATCTTGTTACTGAACGTGCATTTGTCTGTTTGAAGTTTACTTTCATATACAAGATATTTTTGATACTTTGAAAACAGGTCAATGACCTCGCCAATAAAACAATTAGGAGAATGGAGTTACCTGCCTATTCGTCTTACTTGTTGAGGACTTGTTCAGACCTTTGGACAGCTGCAATAAGCCCCTCACTTCCTCATTGGCAAGTGCGTTCCTTCCCTGAAATTACAGAAAATAAATCATTCAAACTTTGAGCTGATTTTGAAATTCTAATGGAGAGTGTATTGGACATAAGTGCAATGTTCCCACAGTCATAAGGACTAAAATGTCCCTGTGCGAAACGCATCATTTGGGCAAACGTCGTCAACACAAAATACACAGCGTTATCTTATATCACCTATACAATACTACGGCAGCTTCCTGTCATTTTCTGTGCTAAATTTCTGGTCTACATGTGGAAATAGCATCAACGTACCAAGAACCTCTGTCTTCTCCATCTTCTACTGACCTTGGTCCTACCTGAACACTTCTCACCGAAATGCTCACCTGTATTACATAATAATGTACAGGGCACCCGCTTTTTGAACGCAAGTTTCGATTTAAACTTGTTTTTGTTATTTGATATGGCTCAAGGGGTCCTAATCCCGGGATGATGATTTAGGCTTTCTACCATCATAATGGCGAATATAATAACATCTTATCAACCATTAAGTTTGATATCAAATTATTTGGCTATGTTTCATCCCCCCCCCCCCAAAAAAAAAAAAAAGTTACCTGCACCGATTGTGTTAGAGAAGACAAGATGCTTTTTTGTTTACCCGATTTGTACAGAACGTTAAAATTAGTGGCAGCGTTCATTAGGACCTAGAGTGAGTACAGCTTAGTTGACTAGAGCTGTCACAGCTAGGATTGACTTAACAGATGTGTTTTATAAAGTACATTAGAGCAAAGTCTAATACTGACTCAAACTAAGTGTACATTTTCTCACCTCCCTCGGGAGGATACAGCCCAGCTGCCGTATGAGAGGGTACCATTGAGGAGATCACAATTCACGGGAAATAAAATCATTATTTCACACATCACAGTAAATAAAACTTTATTCATATTTCACTGAAGATGCGCGAATCACGAATCACCGTGCATAAATATAATGACTTTGTCACACGAATAACGGAAAATAAAAAGCCGTTTTATAAAGTTTCAAATCTTTTTAAACTTTGTAAGCACTGCTAAAATTGATTATTGAAAATTGTTCTTTATTACTTTCACCTACATGACTTAATTCTTTTTCCTGTCAGAAGAGACTCTTTCAAGAATACATCTGTAACGGTCTAGTTTGTTTCTGTAATTTGAAAGCATTTCCCCTCAGGAAATATACTCTTTCTTCCTCTTTTTCAAATATCTTAAAATTTTTTTTCAAAGAAGTTCCACCATGCAATCATTCAAGAATTTCTCCAATTAACGTTGTCTTGAAGATGACACCTAACGCCCCTAGGAAATATAATCGTTCGTCCCCTTTTTACAAAATCTGTAATTTTTATATAATCTTTATTGAGCACTAAAATGCATATATATTACATTTTACAGGCTCTCTACACTAGTCATAACAACTTAGCAACAATTATACATATCTATACAAATACTTATTGAATGTTTACTGGGATGCATTTAATGAAACTGTTGAGAACAGAGAATTCTGAAAAGTTTTTATGTACTGCTGCCATGGTAACGCTCTAAGGGACGCGGTGGCGCCCCGAACTTAAGCAGTGGGATAAAGCTATTTAGAAATCCACGACTCTTGTTGCTTACTTCTTCTCGATCGGTAAATATTAAATCGAACCTTACACCTCTACAATTTTACATCTTCATTCTCTGTCTGTTTCTTATCTTCTATCTTTCTCTTATTAACCTAGTGGGGGGCGAGGGACAATAATCTAACCGAACCGAAATGGTGCATGCCGTAACCTGTTGCGTTGCGTCCAGTGTTAATACTTTTTTGGTATTTTAGATGACGAACGGTGCCTTTCGGTACCCCCTGAAACCCCCCTTAAATCCACCACTGTTCTTAGACAGCATTTTTACTTGATATCTTATTATATTATATTTTCTTCATTTCATCATTTCAGATATAATAATAATAATAATAATAATAATAATAATAATAATAATAATAATAATAATAATAATTTATTCGAGGTTGAGCATTATAACGCAAGCGAATAACACATTCTGCCTGCACTAAGTGAACTATTTATTTGATTTTTCAATCAACAACCAATCACTTTCATTGTGTGACCTCGCTGAACAAGCAGCAGGTTATATGATACAAAAACAGTACCACTGGGTTTTACGGTTTTTGAAAATTTCAAAATTGGTTAAATTTTAATATTAATAAATTAAAATTATGTCAGTTGGTCCCGTATGTAACTGAAAATAACGCATGGAATTGTTCTTGTTGTTCCGTGATCCAACCATATCACATTGCAGCAAGCAGTCAATAATAAACTAGCAGGTTAATATAACACTATATAACGGCTCTGATGGCCAGCATAAAAATTCAAACTACTGCTTTACATAAATTTCAGGACATTATTCAGTATCGTAAAAATTGCTTCATGAATTCTAGACATGAAAATAAGCTTGCACGTCATACTGCTGCAGAGAGTGGTCATTTCGGCTCGTTTAAGAAAACCCACGTGTAGCACCAACCTAACAACGTAATGACGGGTCCTTAAGTTGGCTTAATAAACACTTAGCGTGATTGAAAAATAACATTAAGAACATAGTGAAGTTATTGTAGCTGGTAAACGTATTTCGTCTTTCTGCAACCCAACAATGCTCTGTGAATACAACTTTTTTTTCTTTTAATTTCGCTTGCGCGATTACCAACTATTCTCAGATAGGACCCGTACAGGTTCATTTGGGTGGGTAGTGACAGTGACAGTGGGCCTGACGCCATATTCAGACTTTTGAGACGTTATGCTATGTGCCGCCGTTCCATTTGTTTTATAGATGGATTTTTCCTATACATGCATCTCCATACTTTTTCATCGTTCTTCTTGTAGTTCGGGGTAATTCAATTCATTAAACCATTAGATGGGTTGACCAAAAAAGACAGCTCCTCAATATAGTCAAAGATAGACAACTGATGTTCTTGGGCCATTCCATCAGAAAAGAGGGATTGGAGAATCATGGCCTTGACAATTTTGACACCTTTGGTCAATGGCGAGAAATGGAAACCTTAGGCAAAATATCAACTTTCGTCAAACGCGATGGCACACAAAGAAGATAGCCTTTAGAAACGCTACAATATTATTATCAACTGACGTATGTTTAGAAGTTGTGGGCGCTTTTAAAGAAAAAAATGATTCTTGTATTATGATATCAAGTAAACCAATTAGATAATTTTGTTCTCTATTTGACTTGCTTTTTCTGAGTCTTTTTCACTACGTGAAACAATTTTAACCTTTCGACTTGTATCAACCGCATGTATCAGTCCCTCATTGTGAATTGCCATATTTCAAATATATGGATAGTAATAGATTTATTGGTAGAAAAGATAGAAAAACATGTCATCACTGCCCATGACTTATCAGGTCATTTCTTCAGGAACATCCCCGCCCCCTCTGTCTTCACTAACACAATTGGGTTATATTTATGGCGGCCGTCACAATCATGGTTGAGACAGCATCAAACTCATAACAGCTTGACAGGCGGTGGGCTTACACACACACACACACACACACACACACACATATATACAGTGGCGGATTTAGGGGGGGGGGTCAAGGGGGTCCTGACCCCCCTTGAGTTTCTGAAAATATATCATACCAATATTCCCTTCTTGGAATTTTGACTAGCTAAATCATAGTTCTAAACCGTACCAAAGGGCACTGTTTTCTCTTCAAAACGCCATTTTTTGTCGGGGCCATTGAGCAGGCCCCAAACCCCACATCAAGGAGGCGATGGACGGTTTCGCATCCCCCTTTTAATAATGTTGGATCCGCTCCTGTACTCGCCCCTTCACCTAACCCCAGCAGCTGAAGTCGCAAAAATAACGGCACTGTGATGGTGTTTTGAACTTTATTTTATCCACGCTGTACTGCAGTAAAATAAACGAACAAAATTGTTACAAGAGCGAAGTAGCAGTTTGTTTGTTAAATAGGACAGTAATATTTTTGTTTACAGTTATATTTTTGTTTCCCATCCACTTATTATCACAGGTCCTTGCTAACATTTAGCCCCGCAAGAATTAAACCACTTACCTCAACCACAACACGAATGTCAACTTTAATGAAGATGAATTAGTATCGTTAAATTCATTTCTTTCTTTCTTTATTTATTTATTTTGCAGAAAGTAGACTTTGACAGTAAAATAATCTGTGAATATTCTACACATAATGCAAATACATTTATTCTTCCTTCTTCCACGCACATACTGGGGCACATAGTTGTACTAATTTTGAAATGACCCATGCGCTACCTCCAGAATAACGTCAAATGTCATATTTCTTAAACTTGAATCTCTTTTTAAATTGGTTTCTTTTGATAAATTCTTGTTTTTACAAAATAGTTTGCAATCTAGAGTGTCGTATTATACACGCTGAAGGGCTCAGAAAGAGTACTAATTTTGGAAACAGGTTGTATATATTGTCTTGAAATATTTTGCAAGTTACTTCAGATTTTAGCGCTCTCTTTCGGCGTACTTACTGTTTCACAGCGAGAGAAATCACAGTGCGCAATGATTGACGTTTGCTTATATAACCTGCCAATCAAGCTGTTATTACTTGACAGCAACTATCAAAACTAACTGAATTTGATTGGCACCTTGTCAATCAAAGGATGTAGGAAGCTTGAACTAAACGTGTTCGACGACTAAAGTGATCCAGTGTGTAATGAGTGTAATTGACGTTTGTTTATATAAACTGCCAATCAAGCTGTTATTACTTGACAGCAACTACAAAAACTAATGAATTTGATTGGCATCTTGTCAATCAAAGGATATTGGAGTTTTACATGTTCGGAGAGAAAAGTGTAGCAACTGTGTTTGACGTTTGTTTAAAAAACTGTCATTCATAGTCGTGCGCGCTGGACAGCTTCCATCAAAGGTGAATTAGCCTGTTTTAATTTGATTCATACCTGTCTATAACAATACATGTCGTAACATTCTGGAGGTAGGGGGTAGTTTATTTTCTTTTTTTGCAGCGCGTTAAAAAACGTCGGGTTCTTTATTTCAACTGAGTGACTGAAATTTAACAACGTGAAAGATTCCCTGGTTTTTTTCACAGGCGTTTTTAATTGTAATAAAATCAGTTGTCATTCTTTTTCTGGATATGATGTAAAATGACTATACATGAATTAACGTTGTTGTCGATGTTTGTTGCTCCATAATCCTTTCTTTGATGCTCTTACGATATCGGAACTTCGTATACGAACTGAACATATTACTTTAATCGTGCTCATGTTCTTTTACACCCAATGAATATTTTTGGATCATTTTTTAAAAAACAAATGGTATAAAAAGTGAAACCTTGTCATTTTTTCATGAGCTTCGGAGAGAAAAAATCCCGAGATAATGATGTTAGTGGCCAGGTAAAATTAAAAAGTACTGGT